CTTCTTACAGCCCACCCGTCCCTGCTCTCAGCAGGGTCACTTGCCAAAACATAGGTCTGATCACATGGCTACTTTGCTTGAGAGACTGATGGTTCTCCAAATTATTTTGTTTGACAGAATTTCCTGCAAAATCGTCTCAAGTTACTTTGCTCCAACCACACCAAACTGCACTATTTTCTAAACCTCAGCCCAGTTAAGAACTTTAAAGGTTCTAAGCACTGAAAACATTTTGCTTCTTTTCCTACCCTATAGATTAACAACAGTAGTCTGTAATTTAACATTTTATTGTATGAAATAATGTGGAACTTAGACATAAGCTGAAAATAATTGGCTATTTTCTAGATTTTTGTGAATTTCTCTTTCTGTCTCTCTGTTAGTGCTCTATCTTTACTGATCCCCCAAGGAAATGCCCAATTTGACTATTGGGTATTTTAACACTGCCCTCAACACAAATATGACTCAGCTTTTGTTTCAGAAGTTTACTTCTGACTGGAAAGTCTGTCCTCCTTATTGATTTTGTTAACTCTTCTTGTCCTTCAAGGTTCTGCTCAAATGTAACTTCCTTCATAAAGCTTTTGCTGACTCACCCGGGAGTAATTGATTGCTCAGCCTTGTCGTATGAACCTCTAACAGCACTTGTTCTGTTGTGTTATGGTAAATTATCTGTGTGTCTGGAATCTCTGCTCCTATCCCCATGTTACAGCATTAAATCCTCACAATGACCACATAATGTTAAGTATTAGGATCCCCATTTTACAGATGAGTAAACTGGAGGTTTGTCGCCCATGTCACATAAGCTATTATTAAGACCTAATGTGACGATGAATATAATTTTTTAAAAGACTAAGCTATATAGCTGGGAGGCATTATTCTTTATACATTACTTTTGTATGAAAAATAGAAACAGATGTTTCTATTTTCTTCTTGCGAAAAATAGAATTTATTATTTCCACATAAAGAAATCCTTTTAATATCAGTTAAAGCTAAGAATGCTGCTATGCTCAGATGCAATGCAAATCAGGGGCATAGTCTACCCCAAACATTTCAGGTTCATCTGCTCTTCCTGAGGAGGAGTTGGAGCTCAGGTCCCTGGAGGTGAAAGGCTAAAGCATTCCCTGGTTGTACCTTTTTCTCCCCTTTCTCTCCTGCTTTATTTTTCTCACTCTCATTATTCTTTATGGGGGCTTTTAGTAGAGCTCAGCACCATCTTATCCCAGGAAGAAAAAATTGTAGTAGATAAATGTTTGTTGAGTGGCACAAAAAACAACAGGAATAATCTTTTAAATTTATTATGGAAGCAAAGAATATTGCCCATAGAATGTAATCTTTGGCAGTTCAAAAAACAAGAACTTCTAGCAAAATTCATAAGACCAGTTTTCTTCCTTTGGGCCTTATGTCTGTTTCATTGTTAGCTAGTCTTTCCACTTAACCAGTCTCTCGGCCACACTCTCCCTTTTCCTTAGTTAACATCAGGAGTCTTCATTAGCTATTTTATGGTTTGTTTGTTAGTGATCCTCATTAGCTTTGCTGTGGCCTTAAATTTGTTTGACATTTACTATCTTACTATGTAGGATTTTATGGTTATTTCTCAGTGTATACAAGCTAGGCTTCTGGCCATTACATTTTTTACAGTGTATACATTCACATTTTATAGAATCTCTTGTATCCAATATTTTTCTTTACAATTTTATATAAATGACTGGCATCCAGTTTGTCAGGCTTCTTCATATCTTTGTGTAGGTAAATATGGAAAACTAAATAAATATATATCACTCAGTTAATGGTAAGTTTTTCAAGAAATAGAAAAATATTATATTAAGGTATTCTGTTTCTGCAAAATAAAAGAATTTAATGAAATGTTGTAATTTGGCTTTGTAAGCCAAACTCTATTTTTTATTCTACACCTATTGAATACATACGTTCAAAGTATTGTCCAAGGACCAGGGAATAAAGTAACATTTCTGCCTCCAAGTTGCTGGACTAGTGAAGAAGAATTATAACAAGTCTAGTTATTTCACAGATCTAGGTATGTCTTATTTCAAAGTGTGTTATTCTCCCTTTGTTCCCCACTCTAAAACAAATGCAAGACAAAAAGCCATCATCCCAGCAATAATCTTCTTTAAATTTTGTGCCAAGCATTTGTATTCCTGTAATTTGCCAGGTATTAGGGACACATTGATTAGCAATACAGAAGAAGTTCATTATGTTCAGATCAAAAAGGAAATTTAATAAATGTAAAAAAGGTAAGTGAATGGTTTTGAGTAAAGGTTAGTGCTATTCTGTCAACAGTGATTTTTTGAGTATCTACTGTATGCTAAATGCTGATATATAAAGTAAATCATGTAGGGTGAAGGCCAGGGAGCTGTCTCATCTTAGCTGTTCAGGGAAGGCTGCTCTGAGGAGATGACATTTGAATTGAGATCTAAATGACAAGTAGAAGCAGAAGAGTTTTTTGACCTGGGTCCTAAGAGTCTGTGGATAGAATTCAGGAGACTTGGTGGGATGCTTGGATGGGAAAAATAATTCCATTTCTGTTTTCACTAGACTGAAATTTAACATTTTTTTCCATTTGAATGTATCCTATGTGAATACCTCAGCAGCATTAGCATCACCTGTGACTTTGTGATCAGTATTTTCATACCACATCTCAGGTATTTTGGAATACCATCACTGCTTTGCAATGATGGTATTTCTGAGATCTGCCACTAAATCTGATTAATACATTGTGTTAATCAAGAAGCGCACATAATTACACTATCGGTTGTATAATCACCGAACACATAGAACAGACAATACCCCGTGATTCTGTGGCTCAGTCACATGGGTTGTACTCAGCTGATGAGTTCTTATGGACTTGCCCGGGGTCACTCCCATAGCTGCTGTCCCCTGGGCACTCAACCCAGCCAAACAGCCCAAGAAGTCTCACTCCCATGCTCAGCAGCTGGGGCTGACTGTGGGCTGGGCCACATGGCTGCAGCAGGCTGGCCTGACTTCTTCATTCCGTGGCAGCATTCCAAGAGAGCGAGAGCCACCAGGCCTCTTGGGGCCAAGGCTCAAAAGTCCCACTCACTTCTACTGCCTTCTGTGGGTCAAAGCAAGTCAGAGGCCAGCTCGGGGTCAGTTTGAGAGGAGACTCCACAGGGAAGTATGATTAATTTGGGACCATTACTGTGATAAACTACTACTATATCATAATTTTTTTTAAATATTGTATTAACTAATTTTAATATAATCGGTATCCTTTGTAATCCTTTTATGCTACAAGTGAGGAAAATTTCCCTCCTCTCTTTGGCTGGGCCAAAGAATTAAACTGACATAAGACAGATAAACAAGAAGGCATACAAATTTATTTAATTGTTGTATGTGTATGCAGGAGTCTTTAGAAGGAAAATAAGAACCCAAAGAAGCCCTTAGGCCCCAAAACTTATATGCCTTTTTTACACAAAGAACGATGAACTGTGGGGATGTGACAAGATATGATAAATTAGGCTAGGGGCAGTAAGTTGTGGGACAGTGACTAGGAAATGTATGGAGAAACTAATGGAAGATCAGGGTTATTTTAATAGGTTTGTTTGTACAAGTGCATTTTGGTGCAAACTCCCAGTGTCTACTGATAAGAACGTTCTTCTCTTCTGGTATAGGGAGAGCACCTTTCTCAGGGGCAACTTTGTGTCCTGCTTTTAGGTAGAAAGGGGGAGGGCAGAGAGCCCTTCCTGCATCTCCTGTTTCTCAAGGGCCTGCAGTTCAAAATAATCAGGATGTCAAAGTGGCATATTTTGGTGTGGCATGCTCTGAACCCTTTCACTTCCCTTTAAAATACTATCCTGAGAAGAGCTTCATCACCTTCAGCATATTGTCTAAGAGAGTCATGGTGCTAATGAGGTTAAGAACCCCTGATCTGGAGGCAGGGAGTTCTGGGAGGGGAAGTGCAAAGCCTCAAGGCAGGAGCGAGCTGGCAAGTCCAGCATGGTCGGGAGCACAGGGAAAGCTACTGAGGCCAAAGCAAGTGGTGACCAAGGGCTGAAAAAAGGCAGTTCAGACCATGTGGCTTATTGGGAAACTTGTGGGTGGACACTCCCCCACCCCTCCTGGGTATGGAAAGTTGGTATTGTATGCATACTAATCTATAATTTTCTTTTATATTTCACAATATGTTGTGGCTATATTTCTCTTTTAGTATATAAAGCTCCTCATTTTTTTCTCATTCTTTTTAATAATTTTATAATGCTCAATTCAATGGATACATGATTATTTATTTCATTGTTTCCCCAATAGCAAACATTTAGACTGTTTGCAATTCTTTGTGTAAATATACATGGATTTATTTTTCTCTTTTATTTATCTCTATGAAAATATACTTGAGTGATTTTTAGATGTAGAATTGCTGGATCTCGTGTATGTGCTTTTAAAAGTTTTGACAGGGGGCACCTGGGTGGCTCAGTTGGTTAAGCGACTGCCTTCAGCTCAGGTCATGATCCCAGGGTCCTGGGATCGAGTCCCGCATCGGGTTCCCTGCTCTGCGGGGAGCCTGCTTCTCCCTCTCCCACTCCCCCTGCTTGTGTTCCCTCTCTTGCTGTGTCTCTCTCTGTCAAATAAATAAATAAAATCTTTAAAAAAAAAAAAGTTTTGACAGGGGCGCCTGGGTGGCTCAGTCATTAGGCATCTGCCTTTGGCTCAGATCATGATCTCAGGGTCCTGGGATCGAGCCCCACATCGGGCTCCCTGCTCAGCAGAGAGCCTGCTTCTCCCTCTTGCTCTGCTGCTCCCCCTGCTTGTTCTCTCTCTGTCAGTCAATCTCTCTCTCTGTCAAATAAATAAATAAATAAAATCTTTAAAAAAAAGTTTTGACAGATATCACTACATTGCTATTCAAAAGAAGGTGGTCCTGACTTCTGTTCTATGAGGTGTTTTTATTATTATCTTTAACCACCAAGAGATCTGCACATTATTAAGGCTAGAATAAGAAAGTTTTATATTGACTGTTTATTCTGTTGTTTCAGAACAATGAGATGGTGGAGCTACAGAGAATACGGATGAAGGATGAAATCCGAGAATACAAATTCCGAGAGGCCCGCCTCCTTCAGGACTACACTGAGCTGGAAGAAGAAAATATCACGTTGCAGAAACTCGTGTCCACATTAAAGCAGAACCAGGTAAAGTTCAAGAAATTTTTTAGTTACACTCCAGTTGGAACCACATCTTCTGACCACTAAGGTTAAATCTTCTTTTTATTTTTCAGAAAGGAACTTGTCAAAATTTGCCTTAATCTTCCTACAATATTTATGTGCTGAAACTTCCCAACCTTCCTATTTCAGCTGACATTTAAAAGACATTTAGCTCTGTGTTAACTTGTTTTAGCTGGAAGTGGAATGTATTATAATCAATTTAACCTGACAATTTCTCATTAAAAGCAATCCCTGCTCTCTCTCTCTCTCTTTCTTTCTGTAAATTACTTTTAAATCATACACGGAAAGGAATTACGAAATATAAATCAATAAGAACAAAATTATAAAAGAAAGATAATGTCTTTTTTTTTCAGCTATAATGTGACCAAAAACATTGCATGTCTACACTTAAATATATATATATATTTTTTTTTTTTGGTAGTGAGGCTTAGATAGCTTAATTGCTTTATTTTCCTGATTGGTTTGCATTGTGGTTTGTTACAGTAAGTAACAAAAGAATGTAACTTAGTAAGTAAACTTAGAGACCTGCCCAGATGTATGTTACTTCTACTCCCTTCCAAAGCTCCTATCTCTATCAAAAACTATTTTTGGTTTTGATAGATACAAGGGTGAAGAAGGGAAAGAGAGAACCCAGAAGAAAAAAAAATGCATGTATTGACACAATTGAAATTTGATTTCTGATCACTGCCACTTCCTCCAGCTTTGGAGTGTTGGGGGGAACAAGATGTCTGCCCAGGAGCTCAGGGGGTGGTTTCAGACCATTAAAAAGGGTTACCAGGATACCCCTCTGTTTTTACCTCAGTCCTCCCCTTTAAGCACTGACTCACTGTGCGTGTGTGTACTGAGGGTTGATAGTGTTGTAGGCATCCCAGGTCTCAGCTTGGCTGGGGTCAGTGAGTTCACGGTGAAGAAAATCAGACTGAGAAGACTTTTTTAAGTATGCTCAGAAACTTCTTAAGAAGGGTATTTTTCTTTTTCTTTTTTTTCTTTCTTTTTTTTTTTTTTTTTGGTTACTGATGAAGAATGCAGAGGATTCGAAGCAAATGTACTCGAAGTGCACATATTTGAAGTGGTCATTATTCCCAATTCCTACAAATCCTCTCTGCTCTCTGCACAGGCAGGAGGCTATAGCCTCCCATCCCTGCATGTGGTAGACTAATTTACTCAGGAGGTTAATTTAGGCCAGTATTAGGTATTTTTGAAAGTCTGCCAAGGTATCCTGTGAGTATTCATTAACCCAGATGCCGTTTCTGTGGGAATTTGTGCTATTAGCCTGGCTGATTACTGTTTATGGTTTACCCATGCCTTTCCACCAGTAACTGAAATATGGAAATCAAAGGCTTAACTCAGAAGTTTGAAAAAAACCAAAACAAACAAATGGGAAAATGTATACATCTCTTTAATTTTATTTTCTAGATGCAATATGGTAATTTTCCCAATTAAGTGTCTAATTAATTAACTTGAAATTATTTCCTGCACAAAGGGCCATTCTGGCTTATTTCCTGACAAGTACATGCTCTGTGGTGGTACAAGTCTCTCCGAATGAAGAAAGTGCTGGGTTTTGTTTTTTGGGGTTTTTTTTGCTACTATTGGCCTTTATTGACAGGAGTTAGAATCCATCATATACTCTGTTTCTAATTAGTGAAGTGTTTAGTATAACATTTTATGTACAAATGCCACAGTTCTTTTTTTGCAAAGAGATGACAGTGCTAGAATTCAATCTCAAAACTGCTTGGAATGTTGCTTTGTACTGAAGCTCCCTACACAAAATATAGTCCTGCCACCTGGGTTGACAGTTCTCTGAGTAGCCAAGCTACTAACATTATAAAATGCTTAGTTCAAAGAACTAGAAGATTCTTCTTTTTCTGAAGTAGAAGATTCTTCTTTTTCTGAAGTTCCATTTTTCTTTTAGCTATTTACTGATTATTTTCTAAATGACTGTTGTTTAAATAGCATTTCTTATTCCCTATATAGTTTCTATATGTTAGTTTATTTATTTTCCATCCCCTTCAACCGTAATATAACATCCAGAACAGAGCCTGCCTGGCCCATAGAAGGCATTAAATAAATATCTGTTGAAAGAATGAATAAATTGTTTTTTTTTTTCTTGCTTATACTCACTCTTCGGCTTAGAAAGGAAACTAAAATTTAAGATTATTGTAATTCATCAGACCAGGTTTTATTTGTGATCCTAAATATGAAATATATAAGAACATCAGAGAGTTGACTCTGAAAACTTTAGGCATGTCCCTCTGTGTGCTGACTTGGTTCTGTGTACAAAATAAAATCAGGTCCAGTCTTACAAATACATTTTATACTTTGATACTTTTAAAAACCAAATTTTCTGAAAGAAGTGTAGGAAGAAGCAGCAACCATAAAGAGAGGTCGAGTTGACTATCAGTTCCCCATCAGAAAAACCCACTGATGAAGCAAAGCTATTTATTAGACCTCTCCAGTAAGAGACCCACCTCAACAGAGCCTTAGTAATGTCTCAAAATGGGAGGTTTAGGGAAAGGATGTTCATAGGATTTTAGGATCTGGATTGGGTTTTGCTTGGTGGGAAACTGGTTGGGATAGGTTGAGTTTATGACATAATGGCTGTCAGTTGGGGGGCACAACAAAGTAAGGGTCTTGACTTGGGTCTTAAGGAAGCTGTATTCATTGGGTCTCATCTTCCAGGAGAGTATTTCCCACAAGTTTTCTATGCCTAGTCCCAGTATTGGTTAACATAGGGTTAACAGGAAAATTCGCCTGGTCCCAGTGTTACCTACCAGGGCAGGAAATTATGTTAGCTTCAATTTCTAGAGATGTAGTGGTGGGAGGTAGGGGAGAAATAATAAGTCCTATGTCCCTAATATCTCACATACTAAACTAAAGCACTCAATAGTTGTTATCTAACCATTGAAAACACTTGTTAAAATTAATAATTCAATCATACTGATATTATGAAGAACATTTCCTCCAGGGATATGTTTCTATATCAGGAAATAATATCATAAGAGACCTAGGGAACATATTCAATTCAGTTTGATTCATTTAACCAGTGTTTCAGGAGTATCCTTCTATGAGGCCATGTACCTTTTTAAGGACAAAAGACATGGTCACTGTCTTAAAGAATTTATAGTCCCAGGAGGGAAAGCAGTTAATAGACTCATAGCCATCTATGTAATTGCATATTAAAAGCTATGTGTTAGATGTGGCAATAGAAGGTTAGATTAAGATCTTGAGACTTCCTAAACTCTGAAAAGATTATACTTACCCCCAACCCTCATGTAGTTAAAGAGAAAAAAGCTACTAAACTATGAAGTCGCTAGAAGGAATTGCACCAAAGTACTAATTTTTATAATGGTGACTAGTTTGATGCTATCTTAAAAATGTCAGGCATCAAAATTTTTTTTAAGAAGGCTCCATGCCCAGCATGGAGCCCAATTCGAGACTTGAACTCATAAGCCTGAGATCAAGACCTGAGCTGAGATCGAGAGTCAGATGCTTAACCGACTGAGCCACCTAGGCGCCCCCAGATAGAAGTTTTTAAGTGCATTCTCATTCCTGTTTCTTGGTGCCTCCACTTTGTTGGGGCTCAAACCACCTGCTTCAGCCCTACAGTGATGGTACCAGAAAGGAGTGATCTGTTTGCCTGAACGGGTCAATAAAGTCTTCGGAGTTAGGATCAGATTTTTGACATGGGTCTTAAAGGTTGAATAAGAGTTTTCCAGATGACAGCCTTGGCCAAGGCAGAGAAACATGAAACAGCTGGGTAAGTATTAGGAGCCTAAATATTTATGAGTAGAGTGAGTGAAGTTGCCCAGAGAGAAACAGATCAGGTTTTATACAAAGTCTACCATCAATTAAATACGAATTACAAAATTTAAGAAATCTACAATGCAAACTAAATTAATGTCTTCTAGTCTAGCCCAGGAATCTAAACTTTTCCTACTAAGGTCAGATGGTAAGTAAGTTAACTTTTGTTGGCCTAATGTATCTCTAACAGTGTCTCTTCCAACTACTGTGCTCTGCTGTTGTAGCATGAAAGTAGCTGGAGACAAAATAGTGTGACTGTGTTCTAATAAAATTTTATTTACAAAAATAGGTGGTGGGCTAGATTTCATCCAGAAGACACAGTAATGTTAGACAATCCTTGGCCTAAACTATCAGTTTAACAAGGATTACAAAATAAAAGGTCTACAATGCAAACTAAAGAAGTGTCTGCAAATGTAAGCTATCAAGTAATTTGGGAGCAGTCAGAGGATTGGCTGAAATACTAGGAAAGGTTAGCAAGTGGGTATCCTGAGCTGTTCAGGGAAAGGAAAAGAGAAGGTCAGGAGGAAGATGACTTTACAGTTTATAAGCAGGCCTGGAAGAAACCATGACACAAGGACTCAGATTCTGTTATCCCAAGCAATTTCTATATTTGGGTCTTTTCTATCATGGAAATAGAAATTCCAGTGATCTTGTATAGCAGTATCCATTGTACCCCTCTCCCAGTGTATTACCCAGTATGTATGTATGTATGTATTTATAAAGATTATTTTATTTATTTGAGACAGAGAGAGAGAGAACAGGGGGAGGGGCAGAGGGAGAGAGAGCGAATCCACAAGCAGGCTGTGTGCTGAGTGCGGATCCCAGGACCCTGAGATCATGACCTGAGCCAAAACCAAGAGTCAGGCACTCAACTGACTGAGCCACTCACGCGCCCCTATTACTCAGTTTTTAATTGAGCATCAGGCTATGCAGGATAAAGAAAACATTCTTCACCTGCCTTGTAAGTAAGTGTCATGTGACTAGTACTGGCCACTGGGATATGAGAAGTGATATGAGCACCTTTTGAGACATGTCCTTAAAGAGAAAGGGTGTGCCTCTTACTTTGACCCACTGCTTGAAACATGATCAAGGTGGCAAGCCGCCTTAGATCATATGGACCAGAGTAGGAGTCAGTGCATTAAGATAGAAGAATGACCTCATGGAGCAGAGAATCCTACTGGCCCTTGACTGTCTATCTACATAGTGTTAACATGAGAGAGAGCCAAACTTCTATCTAGACTCAATCGCTCTTGTCTAGGTCTCTGTTACATCAGCCAAACCTACATCTGACCTAAACCTATGTCAAAAACTGTTATCCTAACCTTTGCAAAACAAGCCATTCCAGTGAGATTATGTGAAGAAGGGGGCGTGGGGTGGGGAGTAGAATAGAAACAGATGAAAATGGTAATGATCTGTGATCCCTATTCTTTCATTTTTAAAAATATTTCTTGAGGCGCCTGGGAGGCTCAGTTGGTTGAGCGTCTGCCTTTGGCTTCAGGTCATGATCGTGGGGTCCTGGGATCGAGTCCCACATCGGGCTCCCTGCTCAGTGGAGTCTGCTTCTGCCCCTCCCCTCTGCTCATGTACCCTCCCTCTCTCTCTCAAATAAATAATCTAAAAAATAATCTAAAAAAATTAAAATAATAATATTTCTTAAAATACAAGTTTAATATAAACAGTAAAATAAATGTACAACTAACTAAGCACATAGTTTACATTAGTATCTAATATCATAATGACTTTATTATATTACCTTTTCCAGTTTATTTTTTCATTCACAACAGCAAACGCTTGTTGAAGAGCAGAATTCTGTTGAAACAGTGTGATGGAATATTGAGGCACTGAGGGACACCTCCGGTACATAACAAGTAATTCCTCCTTCTGAGGAGACAACAGTATAGTTGTGGAGATAGAATAGTTATTAAAAAGTGGCATGTGATTAGTGCCATGGAAAAGACCTCAAGGAAGGCCTGTCAGTTTAGAGTAGAGATCTCTTTCCCTTGTGGGCTTTCATGATGAAGGGGTGTTTACACAGGCTATTTGGTTCTCAATTCAAAGGAATATTGCATTGATAGCAATATATATGTATTTTTCTATTATCAGATAATCAGTACCACTATTCCAGATTCTATCCATAAACACATGAAGTTTTTCTTTGCTTCATTTTACTCTCAAACATATTTTATTGAGATTAAATTCTTATTGTGATCTTTTAGCTAATCTATCACTGAATATAAAAATTTCCTTATCATTAATAATTAAGTAAAACAAAGTAATAGTGATGATAAAATATTTTCCTAGTTATAAATATTCTGATAAGTTTATTTTTAAAAAAATTCCTGGGGTGCCTGAGTGGCTCAGTCTTAGTTAAGCATCTGCCTTAGGCTCGGGTCATGATCCCAGAGTCCTGGGATCAAGCCCCACATTGGGCTCCCTGCTCAGTGGGCAGCCTGCTTCTCCCTCTCCCTCTGCCCCTCCCCCTGCTCCTGCTGTCTCTCTCTCTTTCTCCCTCTCAAATAAATATATAAAATCTTTAAAAAAAAAAAAAAAAATCCTTGTTTTTTTTTTTAGGCAAACAGTGCCCCCTTTTGGCCATTGGTTCCCATAAAAAGAAACCCTAAAACAGACACCTTTTCCATCTCTGCTAAGAATTGAATTTATATATATAAATAAAGTATTTATAAATTATATAATATATTATATATACTAACTAATAATTATTATAAATAATATATAATTTCCAAAGAAACCATCCTATGTTACCTGAAGAATATAGATACTATGTGCTGTTTTAGATTTATTTTGTAGACTCACATTTTACACTGTGTAGTTTCCTATTTTTAGTTAACACACAGTATTATATTAGTTTCAGGTGTCCAGTATAATGGGTAGACTAACATTTTACTTTTTTAAATAACTAGGTCTGCTAGAGTGGTTGATGGCAGTTTTGTAAGACCCAAATTTTAGTTTTATGAATCTTCTTTATCCTATCTAATTCAGGTTGAATATGAAGGCTTAAAGCATGAGATTAAGCGATTTGAGGAGGAAACTGTGCTTCTCAACAGCCAGCTGGAAGATGCCATCCGGTTGAAAGAGATCGCGGAGCACCAACTGGAAGAAGCCCTTGAGACCTTAAAAAACGAGCGGGAGCAAAAGAACATCCTGCGAAAGGAGCTCTCCCAGTACATCACCCTCAACGATAACCATATCAGCATCACTGTCGACGGACTCAAGTTCTCGGAGGACGCGAGTGAACCCAACAATGACGACAAAATGAATGGGCATATCCACGGGCCCCTTGTGAAACTGAATGGAGACTATCGGACTCCCACTTTAAGGAAAGGAGAGTCTCTACACCCTGTTTCTGACTTATTCAGTGAGCTGAACATTTCAGAAATACAGAAGCTGAAGCAGCAACTTATGCAGGTAAGATCTCCTTTAGGGCTGTGGAAGTGGATTTCTTGTGGATTGAGTTATAGCCTGTTTTGGGATTTCTTGTTCTCACATTTTCCTTCTAGCTTATTTTTTTGAAATATTGCTTCTTCAACTGGAAACTTTGAAAGTACAGTATGTTAGAAAGACACAACAGAAGAGGAGTTGCAATCTCTCATTTAAAGCGTCACTTTAAGAAATCTATCTTAGAGCCACAAAGTAGATTGCGGCCAGGTGGGAAGGGAGAAAAGCCTCTCCATCCGTTTCTAACCACAAAATTCAGAAGCTATACATACAAGTGAAATGACAGAAAAATGAACTTTTCCATCACAAATAATGGTATGTATAGCTTCAAGAATAATAGTAATTTCTGTGAACAGAAATGCCTTAAGCTTTAAAAGACATGAAGGGCTTTCAGTATACTAACTAGCCAGGATATCATATGATTCAAAATACAGAACAAGTATAAATCTGAAACCAAGGAGTTCTTATTCCAACATGATCTAGGCCTTAAATTTTTAGCATCTTCAAATTCAGATGTCTTGTGAAGAGTCCCAGCCTTTAAGCTTATGTCGCTGTGAAGTGGCTTTTCTAGTTTAGGTCTTGCCTCCCTGCCATACCTTAATCCAGTGCTGATGGGAATCTTGCCTGAGGAACAGCATCACCACCATCACCATCACCTTCTTACTACTACGAATTGTTGGTCTCCACACAGATCTGCTGAACCAGGAATTTGGTTCAACAGGCTTGTCAGGTGATTAAGTTTGAGGCTTAATCTTCAGTCTGTTATCCCCCCAAGGTTCTTTGCATTTGGCTGATAATTAGAGGCTGTCGAGACTCTGGCGGGCATTTATTTCTATAGCAAACGGGGCTTATATTTTTCTGCCTTTACAGAAATGATGACTAAAAATTGAAATTAGCCGAAATAAGAAACTAGAGAACCAATGACGTTAATTTAATAGGTTTATGATTAATAGCACATCAAGAGTTAAGATATCGTGCACTTTACCTGCCCTGTGCTTTTGGCTACTAGCAAAGAATTCATTTTCACGGTGTATAAATCAAGAAATCAAGAGGGCATGGCTGTTGGAAGAAAATGAATTTCATATAGACTTTTACCTGACGGCGAAGTCCAGTTCTGTGTAGGTAATATTTCTCTATGTCTTTTTGCTCAGTTTACACTAATACAACTAGATTGATAGCAAACATATTTTAAATTTTTGCATGATAGATAATTTGTAAGAATTCATGCCCCCAAATTAAATAGAATTAATGTAAAATTTTTCTTAAACTATCGTGTTGGTGGCTTTAGGTTACAAAGTTAATATGCCGAGACTTTTTATTTCTTCTTCTTATGGTGGCAGTGCAGAAGATAATAATAGGAAGAGGGGCTTTTATGCATAAAACAGCTCAACAGTTTTCAACCAGGTCAGCTATTGGCTGAAAGCTCAGAGCTGTTTCGCATTTAATCCTAAATATAATCTGAAATAATACAAAATTTTAAAAAGAGATGAGTTATTTAACAAGAAGAATGGTGGAGACAAGTTCTCAGCAAGAGAGTGCTTCTTGGTTGGAGTGTTATTTGCATTTGGGGTAGGAAGATTCCTCATTGTCTTGAGACTAGTGAGCTACAAGGGGTCTAGCATCTCCGGACCCAACCCATTAAGTGCTAGTTACATCTCTTCAGTCAACCTGATAACCCAGAGTGCCTCACACATTTTAGATGCTCCAAGGGTCAGCTGCTAGTTGGGAACCTTTAGAGGTCTTTACTCTCCCATCAAATGGGGCTACAGAATACCTTCCTAGTTGGAGTGGCTTGGTTTATGACTTAATGTGTGTAGAGTGCTTAGAACAGGGCCAGGCACACAGTAAATGCTCATTGATTGTGAACTATTATTACTATTTCAACTCCATAGTGCCTTTGATTTATTAAGCACTCAATTTATTTAGCTTATATTAATATTAACTTACTGTTGGGACAGTTGGCTCGAGGAGAGTCATCTCAGAAGGGACTAATGTGGTCATTGATAGGAATACAGAAAGGGAATAGTTAAATGTCAGAAGGTGAGGTCTGAAAAGGGATGTTCATTTAGCAAAAAGGAGAAGAAAAACATGGCTGGGTAAACCTTCCCTCAATACAGTAGAAAACTGTACCAGTGCTTAATTCATGTTGACAGTTTGTCAAGTTATGGAGGGGCACAGGCAGGGCTTTATGTTCCAAAATTAGCTCCACGTTTAATTATGGAAACCAGGCTCAACTCAGGAAGGGCCTTGAAGCTTCCAACCTCACAACCGACAACATTAATGTATAATTTTGTTTTAGACAAAGTAACCATCTTTTGGTAAGCAACATTTTTAAAAAAAGCATATCAACTTTTTCTAAGAATATATTTCGTTGAGTACAAGTATAGCAGAATATATCTTTTCATGCATAATTTGTTTATAATCTGATAGATTTTCCTTAGCTATGCATCCCCTGGGTTTAATTTATATGAATAAGCAAGTTATAAAAAACATGCCAAGATACATTGACTAGAAGTTATTGCCATTGTCTTTGATGTTAATGTTCTAACATGTTAATGTTGAAAAGAATAAGACAGTTCTGATACACAACAGTACTAATGTACCTTGCAGCATTTCTGTGTGTCAGTACCACTCTCCTGAACGTTCCAAGGAGCAAGCAATAAAATGCACTTTAAGTGTGGCTATTTGAAATGCTTGGAACAGGTGTGTTTTGATATTAAATGTTCAGAATGTAGAAAGATAATATGCAGCATGTACGATATATTTTGTGACATCCCTAATGGGACTGGGTGCTGCAGTGCATGATCAAATAATACTAACATTTCTATAGTGTAACATGTGGTTATTCATGCTAAGAGGAGAAAATGAGGACCAGAAAATTTCTCTCATCAGTCAGATGCAGTTTTGCTGCTAGAGAAGTCTAGAGCTGTCTAAATATCACCACCCAGTGAGTTATGAGAAAACTTTTATTTAAAACCACTTGGGATTTTGATGGGCACCTGGGTGGCTCAGTCGGTTAAGCGACTGCCTTCGGCTCAGGTCATGATCCTGGAGTCCCGGGATCGAGTCCCGCATTAGGCTCCCTGCTCAGCAGGGGGTCTGCTTCTCCCTCTGACCCTCCCCCTTCTCATGCTCTCTCTATCTCATTCTCTCTCTCAAATAAATAAATAAAATCTTAAAAAAAAATAAAACCACTTGGGATTTTGAAATTATGGCTGTCTTAGGCATGGCAGTTGCCATACAAGCTCATCGTCTTGTGTACCTCAGCTTCTAATATCAGCATACTTTGGATATCACAGCCTGTATTTTCATAGTTCCCTAGTCTTTTAGGATTTCTTTTGGCCGGGGTCCAAAGTGCCTTCAAATCAAACACCTGTGCTTCATTAATGTTGACAATTTGTGGAGATATTGAGGGGCACAGGGAGGGATCTAACACCATGTACCAGGGAATGTGCAGCTTTTATTTTATTTTATTTTATTTTAAGATTTTATTTATTTGACACAGAGAGACACAGCAAGAGAGGGAACACAAGCAGGGGGAGGGGAGAGGGAGAAGCAGGCTTCCCGTGGAAAAATTTTCTTCCTTAGAATCAAAGAAACCTTTTGAAACCAGCATACCCAGGTCAAAGAGATCATACTGCCATCTGCTGGGAAATGGTAATAATTAATATGAAAATCTGGGACAACTACAATTTAAAGAGTGCCTCCCAACGTTGTATTGCCCTCAAGACTCAGTTATTTCCAATAGATTATACAGCTGACCCTTGAACAACAGGGGTTTGAACTGCACGGGTCCACTTACATGCAGTTTTTTGGTTTTTTTTTTTTTGATAAATACAGTACAGTACTGTAAAGATGTCTCATGATTTTCTTAGTAACTTTTTTCTCTAGCTTACTTTATTATAAAAAAATATATAATACACATAACATATAAAATATGTATTAATCAACTATTTATGTTATTGGTAAGGCTTCCAGTCAACAGTACTGCATTGTTCAAGGGGCAACTGTAATTGATATTTTCCAGTGACAGCCAAGTACGTTAATTAGTTTTATTAGAATGAAAATAAGTAGATCCTGTCTGGGAAAACTAAATTACTTAATCTATTTAAAGGAGTCCCTGTGCTTATGCTAAAACCTCTGCCTTTGATAAATAGCCTCTGTTTAACCTCACATTGCAGAGAGTCAAACTAGGGAGAAAACTCTTTGGATTTTTTTTTTCAGTATCACACCAGCTATATAATTTCACATTTAATGTGACAAAACAGCAATGTTTCTGAAACTGAAACTGATGTTTTATTGTATCCTCATGGATGTGAAAGAAATAAAGATTCATATTATATTTAGATCCACTCTATTAAAGACCATTTTAATTTTTCCTATAATGATGGTAAGTGGTCAATTTGCTATATGTCCCATAAGCGTTCAAAGCAATTTATATATATTTGCTTGATTGGTTGGTGCCTATAACAACTGTATGAGGTAGATAGTATTGTTATCCCCATTTTACAGAAAGGGAAACTAAGGCACAGATATGTTTTTGTCATTTGCTCAGTCAAAAACTTAGTATAGCTACAGAGAGAGAGTCAGACAAATTAAATATTCTCTGTGCTTAACAAAGAGAATATTTTTGGGGTGAAATTAATTAAAAGAAGATTGGTCAGTTTGTGTTTTTTAAAAATTAAAGTGACAAATACAATTTCCTAGGGCAAAGTTGACAAGTCACTAAACAATTGCAGATTTTATAAAGATTACCTTTAATATAAGCTTTATAGGCAAATGCATTTCTCAGAAGCTTTACTTTTTCTACCACATATCAGAAAACATAATAAGAGCATCTATTATCAGAACAGCAAGAGAAGAGTCTATGTCATTTTTTTTAAGAACAACTTTTTGGAGATATAATTCACATGCCATATATCCACCTAGTTAAAGGGTATAATTCAGTGGTTTTTAGTATATTTACAGAG